TAAAATAAGTAGAATGGAAAAATACGTTTCTAAATCTTTTTAATTGACAGATAGATATATGGATTGGTAATTTTCCAAATGTGATTTACCAACCGCGAAAAAATTCTCAGTTCCGGATTGAAACATTTTTAGCAAATGATTTGTTTTAAATGTCGAGTTTCTGTCTAGGTCTAGAGGGCACTGAAGATCGAGAAAATACAGTTTCTGTAGCTCAGAAATACAAAATCTGTATTCGGATAACGTAACAAATCGGCGGTACAAAGTTTTTCCGCCAGAAACAGATGCAAAGTACAGATTTATTAAAAAAACATTTTGGAACTAAGAAAAACCACAAAAGTACGTTTTGCCAACGCTTAGCTGTAAGTGTTACCCTATACTACAGAAGTGAGATAATGATCGAGCTATGAGAATACTAAAATCGATATTTTTTCCATAATTATTCCGAGTCAGTTATCAGACGAAAGAAAAATAAAAGAATATAGTAACATCACGATGTTTGATCCTTATACTGGCAAACGATAGTGATGTATTGCGATGTTTTTCAATATCTATTAGGGTGACGACAAACATTAAAAAGTAAGATAAAAAAGGAGCAATTTTGATGTAGCTGTGGTTAATGATTTTTTTGATCAATTAGAATCATGTTGTACGTAAATGGGTATGTCATGTAACAATTATGTATGTATGTAAACTACCGGTCATAGAATAGATACGTAGCGACCACAGGCCAAAAAATAAAAATGAAAAATGGAAAAGACTCCCGACGGATATATTGTATAAGTTTATAACGAAAAGCATATATTGGTACAGGGAGGGAAATCGTAAATATATATGAATGCAGAAAATATTTATACCACACTTTGTATGAGATATGTACATCTATCTATATAACCAGTGATACTGAGCACAAAAGAATATTTTCATTATCAGATGATCACTATTTAAATTGTAATTATCAAACATTTTATTCTGTAAGACATTGTGGAATTACAAGTTATACAGATCATTATGCTAATTTAATGTCTATTTTCTTAGTATCTATGCCATGGTTTTTTAATCTAATTTGAAGTTCCACCAGTGGCGTAACTAGCTTGCTGATTTTGGGGGGGCTTGAGCCCCGGGTGTCTATAAGTCGATTTGGTGACAGTACTCGTATATGACGTTCTTCAAAACTTACTACAGTACGTATTTCACAAATGCTTGACTTTGACGGAAATCCTCTGCTATGAACTTTGTTCTTCGATATAGTCTACGGTCTTAGTTGAAAAAAAAACAAAGTTATAAAAGACATTTTAATATACGTATATTATGTAAGTAAAAAATATATCGAGTTTAAAACTTAAACAACTTAAATCGGTACTAAAACCTTAAAAACTGGAACAAGTTATTTTAAATTATATTCCTCGTAACTGCACAGACAGGCGACGGACCAGCAGACAAAAGGGTTAAAAAATTTAATGCACTAAATTTATTTTTCTGTTTTTAAATGCATCTTTGAGCATCAGTGACTGGAAGAGGGTATGTTTCAATGTTTCAGTGACGAATCCAAGTTAAATATGTTTGGATCAGATGGTGTTCATTACGTTAAACAAAGTGGACAAAGATTGAACCCCAAGTACACTTTGCCCACTGTCAAACATGGAGGAGGGTGCTGATATGTCCTTAAGATCAATCTTCCAGCAAGATAATGACCCGAAGCACACTTCACACTTCAAATCTCGCGAAGAAATTCTTTCTGGATGAAAAAATACCAGTTCTCAAATGGCCGTCACAGTGTCACGATATAAACCCCATTGAAAATCTATGGGAATACTTAGATAAGCAAATACGAGATTAAAATTATTCAAACAAGGATGAACTGTTTGCCGCTTTAGACCAGAAGTGGAGACACATTGATGAATCTTATATCAAGAAACTTCTACAATCTATGCCGAGACGATGCCAGGCGGTGATTGATAATAATGGTTATGCTACAAAATATTAACACAAACATGGTTGGTTTTCTATAATTCAATGAACTTTGCTTCTTTTTTCTATAACTGTTTTGCTTTGTCTATATATTTTTGTCGTTCATAGTTCCAGTTTTTTCAATTAAATTTTTATTGAAGGGAGTCTGATGAATTTATTTATGTATAAGTGAGTATTAGGTTATAACGAATTATGTATATAGGTTGGTGTATTAATAAAAGTTAAAAAAATACAGCACAATATTAATTTCTCTATATACTTTTGTCCCCTACTATACAGGGTTATCCAAATTAAGTGTCCACCATTAGTAACTTTGTTATTAGTGAAAATACAAAGTTGTTTGAATTAGCAAACTAGTAGCATTTTTAACGCTGGTAAAAATGAGAAATAAAAAAAACAATTGAGAGTCGTTATTTTGATTTTTTCAGTAAAATAACATTTTTTTAAATGGAAACCCCTGTATATTATATTTTTTTCTGTTAAAGCATCAAATTTTAAACAAAAAAGTTCATAATGACTTTTCCGCTAAAGTCAAAAATAAAGTCAAAATAACGATAAATATTTTTAATTATTTGCAGTATTATAATATTAAGACGGTTATGAAAACAACATGGCGTTCGCGATTTGACAGCATTAAGATAAGCGACAAATTGTTAAACTGGACATACTCGCAACTAGAAGGCTTTGGAAAACAATGATAAAATCAAATAATGTCAAACATTAGTGTAAATACTTGTTTATAAGCTTTATTGTGTCATTAATTTAAAGAAAAATGTTCTCCCATGAAGAAAAGTGTGATATGTTAGAATGCTATTTAGTGTGCAGAAAATCCTCATTGAGAGCAAGAGAATACTACAGTGAATTATATCCCGCTCGCATTCAACCGTATGAACGATATTTTCTGAGACTTTATCGAAAATTTAGGGGCAACGAAAATGTTTTTGCTAAAACAAGGGCAAAAATAGAATTCATAATAAGCGAGGCCACGGAAATTGCAGTTATTGGATATTTTGAAGCTTATCGTGAGAATTCAATAGCAGATATTCTCAAGGACTCTAATTTCAGTTATGGTACTGTTCAAAAGATTTTAAAAAAATACAAATTTATTCCGTATAAGTACCGACCAGTTCAAACGCTTTTGGCAGGGGATCCAGAGAGAAGACTTGTTTTTTGCCATTGGTATCTTAGCTTCTGTCGCCAAAATGTAAATAACTTTCGTTACCTTTTATGGACAGATGAATAAAATTTTTCAAATTCTGGAATGTTTAATAGAAAAAACCACCATTATTGGTCAAGAGAAAATCTTTTGTTAGTACATCCAAGAGGCCCACAAGTCCGTTTCAGTTTCAACGTTTGGTGCGGTATAATTGGTTCAAAAATTGTTGGCCCGTTCTTTTATGAGGGAACCCTAACTGGTGAAAGATATGTGGAATTTATGTCAGAAATTCTGACCAATTTCTTAGACGAATTGGATCTTATAAGTAGACATCATCTGCATTTTCAGCAAGATGGCGCACCTGCCCACAACTCCAGAGGTACTTATCATTTTCTATGTACTACTTTTAATGATCAGTGGATAGGAACAAATGGCCCAATACAGTGGCCTCCCAGATCACCAGATCTAAACCCACTTGATTACTTCTTGTGGGGTTACTTAAAGAACCAAATTTACAAGCGAAGGTACGATAACCTTGACGCGTTAAAGACTGCAGTTAGGGAAAAGATAACCCAGATAGATGGTAGGACCATACTTAAGACAGTTCGAGCAGTTGAAAAACGTGCCCAAAAATGTATTAAAGAACAAGGTGGTGTTTTCGAGCATCTTCTTTAAAAAAAATTGTTATTGTATTTTGTAAGATTATAAGTTGATGTTGAAAATAAAGTTTGTCGATACAATTTAATTGTTTCAGATTGGAGGCCATAACTTCAACAATTTGTAACCTAGGAGAAAAGTTATTGTAAGCTTTTTTGTTTAAAATTTGATGCTTTAACAGAAAAAATATAATATACAGGGGTTTCCATTTAAAAAAATGTTATTTTACTGAAAAAAATCAAAATAACGACTCTGAATTGTTTTTTTTTTATTTCTCATTTTTACCAGCGTTAAAAATGCTACTAGTTTGCTAATTCAAACAACTTTGTATTTTCACTAATAACAAAGTTACTAATGGTGGACACTTAATCTTCTTTATTTACTAAATCTAAACAAATGGATGCGTAATTGTCAATTTAACGACTAAATGTACACAGGATGTTTCTTAATGATGTGCTAATACTACAAAATATGGTACCTCAGATAATTCTAAGAAATAAAGGTTGTATGAACATATCTCCGCAATTAAGTTTTTAGCTGCAGGGTATTGAATTTTTAAGCAAATATAGTATGTACGAGTATTTATAATACTCTGCAGTAAAAACATTAAGTCACCGGGAGATATGTCTTTTCTTCATAAAATTATCTGATGAATCATATACTGGAGTATAAGCATAATTAAATTTTATTTTAAAGTATTTTGAAGTGCTGCATAGAAAATCAAAAACAATTATCGAAAATATGTTTTTGTACTTTCATACCTTAGAGTGGAAGTATAGGAATCTATTTAGCATTTTTTAAAATTAAATTCAAATCTACTCAAGTGAAAATGCTTAAATTTATTAAACGCTCACCACGCATTTTAATATACATTTTCGAAATAGAGACCCAAAAATGTAAATTCCTCAATGGCCAAATTCATGGTTGATTCAAGAAATATTATGTGTTATTGTGTCTTCCAAAAAGTTATGCCAATGCTCTAAAATCACAAGAGAGCTGAAGCTGTGGAAAAAGAAGTTTTTAAAACATCCCAATTCCTTCAAAAAACGTTTGACTATGTCTTAATATCATGAGATTTATATAAACAGATATCAAAAGCAAGTTTGAAAACGACATTCTGCAATCCTTATTTTTACTATTGGCGATCCTCATTGATTGAATTTTCAAGACCGTTTTAAAATGCCTAACTAATCTAAAGAAAATGTTCCAATAAACTTACCCTGACTTCCTTAGCCTTCCGCTTAGCCTCCAAAGGGTTGTCCAAGATGAAGTATATCGGGAATGTAATCACATCCAAAACGAACGAAATCACTTTCAAGCTGCTCAGAGCGAAGTTGAACGCGATGCCTTCCATGGTCCTGGAATCAAGAATCATACTAAATCATACCAGCCGATGCAGCCGTTTCAAACCAAGTCATCAACGATATTCGAATCTAATGATACTGGTAGACCTTGGAGATTAGGTCGTGTTGTTTAGAACGTATTTCGGCTAGTCAGTCGCTGATTTGGGTATTGAACTTTGTAACGTAAAATCGTACAAAAATTGGAAAAAAAATAAATCAAGTAGATCGACTCTATAATTTCCACACATTCGTTACAACTTCTGATCAGGAATCAAAAAGATATAGGTATTGTCACACACGCACCTCAAATGATGAAATATTGGAAGTTTGTTGTTTGATATTTTTCTATCAATGTTTTTATAATATCGATGTCAGAGCCAACCTACCTGATACAGGTTTTCAACAGGCTGAATATTAAATTTTATGTATGTGTTTTGAAAATTATAGGTCTTTGAAAAAGATATAGAAATTTCACACCCTATGGCAGTCTGTCAACTCCTGTTACTACAAATATTAACTTTTTTTGGATTTTATTTTTACAATGTAATGATGAATAATGCATCTTCAAACTGGTGTCTCAACCTTACTGCCAACTTTTCTCGTTCAGGAAAAATTGCCACTTATTTCCCAACCAAGTATTCCAAAGTAAAACTTTGCTCAACTTTAACCGGCTGTACTGGAAATAAATTTACTACGAGAGTTTGGCAAGTAACCTTAAAAGTTGGCGCATTTAATAACGATTCCAAAATGGTATAACACTTAGAAGATTACTCGTTAACTTATGCACAATTTTTATTTGAAAAAAAAACTGATGAAAATTTTTCAAAATTTCCTAATTAAACAGCGATTATGAAAACGCACTAGGACCCTTAAGGATAACTGTTTACACAACAGTGGGCGTCAAAATGCTGCTGATGATGATTTACCTTTACAGCAAATGCTCAAACTGTTTTCCTTCAGCCGCAATACACGCTCGACATCTTCTGAAAAAAGATCGGGTTATTAAACGAGCGAATCCACGGTTATTAACAAACTAGCTGCTTCCAATAGTCTTTGCCGTAGCTCAGCTACATTTTGAATCGGCTTGAAATACACTTTTTCTTTTACAGTTCCCCAGTAAAAAAAATCTAACGGATTCAAATCTGGTGACTGGGCTGGCCACGGTATTGTACCAGTCCGCCCTATCCATCTGCCTGGAAAGTTTTGATCGAGATACTCACTCTCTCACTGAGAGTGCATAGTGCACTGGGCAGCCATCATGCTGAAACCACATGTCCCTGTAAATACTCAGTGGCACGTCCTCCAATAAATTTTCTAAATGATTTTGCAAAAAACCTAAATAAACCTCAGCAGTCAAAGCCTCTGGGAACTCAAACGGACCGATTATTTTACCATTTAAAATTCCTGTCCAATGGTTTATCTTGAAGCGATATTGATATTTATCTTCTCTCATCAAATGTGGGTTTGCTACGTGCCACTCATGTAAGTTATGCAGGTTCATGTACCCATCTTTCTTAAATGTGGTCTCATCCGACAATAAAATTTTTTCAAAGAACTATGGATCTTTCCTGTATCTTTCTAACATTGTGCGACAAAAAGCAACTCGGGGCTCATAATCCCGGGGCAGGAGAGGTTGAACACGCTATATGTGGTATGGATGAAGCACATCACTTACTTGCTATTGCACACTTTGATACCGATTAGTACTCCTTCGTTTACTGCGCATCTTTATATGTTCGTGCTTGTTGATTTCGTAGTTACTAATTTTGGATTCGTGAACTGGACTGTTGATCGCTTGTCGCAGTGCCGCTATGTCCGTGTACACCGTACAAGAATATGCTAACATGCACATCATTTATGGGGAATGCAGATGCAACGCTAGTGCTGCAGCGAGACTTTACTGTGAGAGGTACCCGAATGCAGCTCGTCATCCAGATCATCGAGTGTTCACAAATGTGCACCGCTTACTGTTCTCAGAGGGCCAACTACCAAACCAATCACACGGTGAGGGAAGATCTTTTCTTCCTTACGAAGACGTGGTGCTAGGAGCTGTCGAAGAAGACCCGAGTACTTCAGTGCGTGCAATAGAACTAAAAACAGGTGTGCACAAAAGTACAGCCCATAGAATCTTGCAAAAAAACGTGCTCCATCCATACCACGTACAGCGTGTTCAAGCTCTTCTGCCCCGGGATTATGAGCCCCGAGTTGCTTTTTGTCGCACAATGTTAGAAAGACACAGGGAAGATCCACGGTTCTTTGAAAACATTTTATGGTCAGATGAGACCACATTTAAGAAAGATGGGTACATGAACCTACATAACTTACACGAGTGGCACGTAGCAAACCCACATTTGATGAGAGAAGATAAATATCAATATCGCTTCAAGTTAAACCATTGGACAGGAATTTTAAATGGTAAAATAATCGGTCCGTTTGAGTTCCCAGAGGCTTTGACTGCTGAGGTTTATTTAGGTTTTTTGCAAAATCATTTAGAAAATTTATTGGAGGACGTGCCACTGAGTATTTACAAGGACATGTGGTTTCAGCATGATGGCTGCCCAGTGCACTATGCACTCTCAGTGAGAGAGTATCTCGATCAAAACTTTCCAGGCAGATGGATAGGGCGGACTGGTACAATACCGTGGCCAGCCCAGTCACCAGATTTGAATCCGTTAGATTTTTTTTACTGGGGAACTGTAAAAGAAAAAGTGTATTTCAAGCCGATTCAAAATGTAGCTGAGCTACGGCAAAGACTATTGGAAGCAGCTAGTTTGTTAATAACCGTGGATTCGCTCGTTTAATAACCCGATCTTTTTTCAGAAGATGTCGAGCGTGTATTGCGGCTGAAGGAAAACAGTTTGCGCATTTGCTGTAAAGGTAAATCATCATCAGCAGCATTTTGACGCCCACTGTTGTGCAAACAGTTATCCTTAAGGGTCCTTGTGCGTTTTCATAATCGCTGTTTAATTAGGAAATTTTGAAAAATTTTCATCAGTTTTTCTTCAAATAAAAATTGTGCATAAGTTAACGAGTAATCTTCTAAGTGTTATACCATTTTAGAATCCTTATTAAATGCGCCAACTTTTAAGGTTACTTGCCAAACTCTCGTAGTAAATTTATTTCCAGTACAGCCGGTTAAAGTTGAGCAAAGTTTTACTTTGGAATACTTGGTTGGGAAATAAGTGGCAATTTTTCCTGAACGAGAAAAGTTGGCAGTAAGGTTGAGACACCAGTTTGAAGATGCATTATTCATCATTACATTGTAAAAATAAAATCAAAAAAAAGTTAATATTTGTAGTAACAGGAGTTGACAGACTGCCGTAGGGGGTGAAATTTCTATATTTTTTTCAAAGACCTATAATTTTCAAAACACATACATAAAATTTTTTTAAATATTTTTCTCATAGCTGTTATGACTTTGCCTATCACCCGGTTTCGGCTTAACGTCGACTTCTGGGACACCCTGTATAAGAATAAAAGTGTTGCTCTATTGACCTCATATTAAAAAAGTCCCATTATAATTATGTTTTTAAATTTTTTATACTTGTTTATATAAGGTGGAATCTGCTGTAGTAGCAAGTACGGAAAATATGTGTAACTTTGTAACCATTATGTCTGACAGGCCTGTAGTATTACCCCGCCATATTCAAAGAGATGCCGCGCCAGCATGGACGTGCGATGTGTTTTGCTGCTCTGTTCATTTTCCATACCCGTGTATACAACCCGCACTATCTACAACTTCAACCCCTAATTCTCAACCACTCCAAAAGAATTTCTGAAACTGAGCAAACTTTGAAAAACGAAGTTTTTTTTTCATTTTTTGCCCGAAAGTCCGCCGCCAATGTATCGATTTTAAAAACCAACAATGCTTTTTCGTCCTTTGTAAAAATCTCATCCGAGCGGTACTTTTCGCTTTATAGATGCAATAAACATTAGCGTACACTGCCGCATTAAGCGCATGGGGGGGTATCTACACCTAGAAAGAAATCTTGAAAAAGGCGCCCAAAGTTTGAAGCTCTGATACAGTTCTACCGATACGTCAAACAAAAATATAAGAATCGAAGGAAACTATTGTATGTTATGGCCAAAAAACATTGCCAGTGAGTAGAGAAAATGACGCTGATTCATTAGGTATCAATAACCAAATACGCCCAAAAAATGTTGCTTAGCACGTAGACCAGGTGCTGAGTAGAACTGAGTTTACAAAATGTGAGTTACGTACTTTATGAACAGTTAACAAATGAGAAAAAGTCGAGGAACAATAATCCAGATCTTGCCCGCCCACATTTTTGTTCATTTTCTTTTAACTCCCCTCTTAACTATAAAGGAAATTTGTGGAGTGCATGCAATGGAGCGATTTGAATGGTTATTTCAATTAATTTATATTATTGAAGCAGCAAAACGTTGTTGTAAAAAATAATATTTTATTGATAAAAAGTAAAAAAGGAATGTCAATAGGAATACACTGAAAGAACTGGAATATTTATCATTTTTTATTTTGGCATCATTATCTACATAACTAGGTTTGAATTTTTACAACTACATGACGTTTTGTTTAACAATTAGATAAGCATTTACAGGGTTGGACCAAAGACTCTGGTAAAGAAGACTATCATTTGCCGCGGAAGTAAATTACCAATCATGTTCAAATAACTGTAATTAATTGTTTCCAATAGCTTTCTATGAGCATTTTTCCAGTTGCACATTAGCTCTTAACAAATGTCGCCTATTTTGAGCTAATAAACTAACTTAAAAAACGCTTTAAAATAAATTAATCTTGAAATGCACTTCGGAATCTTGTAGAAGGTTTTAGCTTTAATTTAGATATCTGGCTACCCCAAATTTAATTTTTAACCCAGTTTCTAATCATTGAAAATGAGCATCTTCAGGGTTTTTTAGACATTAATGGCTTATAGCTAGGAAAAAAGTTACTAAGGCCTGTCGGATAAAAAAAAACTTTTTTGTAAAGGTTTAAGACGGGACGAAGTTTAAAAGTAAATGCACCAAAAAGTGGC